GGTCGGGGCCCATCCCAAGTGGTGGAACGCCAGAGCCCGGTCGCGCCGGCGACCGCTGCGACCCTGGTAGTTCCGCCACTGTTCAGCTGCCATAAGGCAGCCTTGTGAGGACTTTGCGGTGGCTGTCTACAGCACCGGCCGCACCTCTCTTCCTGCCCGCACCTGTGAGACCCCGCACAGCCTCCTGAGAAGCTGGACGCAGCCCTGGTGAGATGCCGCACACCCTTGGTCAGAACGCACAGCTGTGTGGTGATTGCACACAGCCCTGGTGGGACTGTATAGCCCTGATAAGACCCAATGCAGCCCTGGTAAGAAAGTACACACCTAGTAAGACCGCACAGCCCTAGTGAGAAGTAGTCCTTTATAGCTGATGGTATTCTGCATTGCTGTATAATGCATTGCTGATATTTGTAGTCCTATAGCTGGTAGTATTCTGCATTGCTGTATAATGTATTGCTGAGATTTGTAGTCCTTTATAGCTGGTGGCATTCTACATTGCTGTATAATGTATTGCTGAGATTTGTAGTCCCTCCACAGCTTGGGGTCAGTGGCAGAACTACCAGGGTGGCAGAGGTTGCAGCTGCGACCGGCCCTGGCGCTCCACTGCTGCCCTAAAATCATTAGTCTGTATTGTTTTAGAAAAACTGTCATATGACACTAAGAAAAAAGTATCGGTAATTGCTATCAGTGAGTACCGGTACTCATACTCGGTCTGGAAAAAATGGTATCTGTGCATTCCCTACTTTAGATGTAAAAAAACTTTGGAATTAGAGGGCTTAGCTACAAAATGGTTTTCATTTGTAACCAATCAGGTTGTGCCTTGCTCTACATTGTTCTAAATCTAAAATAAGTTGTATGATGAGCTTGTAATGTGTATGGTTTAAATGACAATCTTTAATAGTTGTTCAGAGCCTGGATTGTGCATGCACGGTTGGCTGCCATCTAAATCCTCCTCATCGTGAGATCTAATGGGATGGCAGACCTGTCTAGAGAAGTGTTTTAGGAGCAAAAGGAAAGTGCTGATTGGTTGTTGAGGAGCAGGCAAATTATTCCTCCTTCATAAGTGATGTTGATTTCTGTGCTGATGGTGGCTTCCAGTTAGCCCTACAATTGGGGAAGTGGTCAGATTTCTCCCCTTACACATAAGAACAAAAGTTGAAATATTTTCCACATTCCTCAAAGTACTTTATAGCAGCCACACACGTTACAATCTGATCATAAGATTGATCAGTCACACAGGTTTGTAAAATGCAACCAGAGGCAAAGCTTTTTTTAGTTTTGTATAGCATGGAGAGGGATTAGTTTTTATTGCTGCCTGTGTCCCTGTTAGAGACTCACACCCTTGTCCTGGTGACCGTTACAATCCTATATTTTGTGTTGGCCTCAGAACAGAAATAGGTGGGAAATCTTCCAATGGAGACACTAGCTCTGTTGACCATCAAGGATTTCACTCTCTTTGGATTTCCTCTCACTTCCCGTGTTGGCCGTTGGACAGGAAGTGAAGGAAAATCTCCACAATAGGACATACATGGCAATCAAAAGCTGTCCGGGGTTATAGCCCTCCCTTACCCTATCCATAACTAAAAAGTTCTGTCTGTCCATTGTATTTTAAGATGCATTTGGGGTGCATTTATCATGTGTTTACATTGACAAGAAGCAAAAGCAAAGCACAAACTGATATAGAGCTGCAGCTAACGATTATATTCATAATCGATTAGTTAGCCGATTATTAAGTTCGATTAATCGGATTAAAAAAAAAAAGTATCCAGTGATGGACTACTAGTTTGTATTGAGATTGTAGTCCATCACGGGAGCAAGCTTGGAGCGGTGGAAGTAAAAAAAATATGATGGAGGAATGGGGTGCAGGGATAGAGAGGACGGGTATGATGGTGGAATGGAGTGCAGGGATGGAGAGGACAGGTATAATGATGGAATGGAGTGAATCGATGGAGAGGATGGGTATGATGGTGGAATGGGGTGCAGAGGACGGGTATGATGATGGAATGGAGTGCAGGGAAGGAGAGGACGGGTATGATGGTGGAATGGGGTGCAGAGGACGGGTATGATGATGGAATGGAGTGCAGGGAAGGAGAGGACGGGTATGATGGTGGAATGGGGTGCAGAGGACGGGTATGATGATGGAATGGAGTGCAGGGAAGGAGAGGACGGGTATGATGGTGGAATGGGGTGCAGAGGACGGGTATGATGATGGAATGGAGTGCAGGGAAGGAGAGGACGGGTATGATGGTGGAATGGGGTGCAGAGGACGGGTATGATGATGGAATGGAGTGCAGGGAAGGAGAGGACGGGTATGATGGTGGAATGGGGTGCAGAGGACGGGTATGATGATGGAATGGAGTGCAGGGAAGGAGAGGACGGGTATGATGGTGGAATGGGGTGCAGAGGACGGGTATGATGATGGAATGGAGTGCAGGGAAGGAGAGGACGGGTATGATGGTGGAATGGGGTGCAGAGGACGGGTATGATGATGGAATGGAGTGCAGGGAAGGAGAGGACGGGTATGATGGTGGAATGGGGTGCAGAGGACGGGTATGATGATGGAATGGAGTGCAGGGAAGGAGAGGACGGGTATGATGGTGGAATGGGGTGCAGAGGACGGGTATGATGATGGAATGGAGTGCAGGGAAGGAGAGGACGGGTATGATGGTGGAATGGGGTGCAGAGGACGGGTATGATGATGGAATGGAGTGCAGGGAAGGAGAGGACGGGTATGATGGTGGAATGGGGTGCAGAGGACGGGTATGATGATGGAATGGAGTGCAGGGAAGGAGAGGACGGGTATGATGGTGGAATGGGGTGCAGAGGACGGGTATGATGGTGGAATGGGGTGCAGGGATGGAGAGGACGGGTATGATGGTGGAATGGAGTGCAGGGATGGAGAGGACAGGTATAATGATGGAATGGAGTGAATCGATGGAGAGGATGGGTATGATGGTGGAATGGGGTGCAGAGGAACAGCTCTAAACTGATATCAAAATGACCTCAAAGCTGAACCCCAGACAGACATAAAAGACACAGATTAATGTAGCTTGGTATTAATCAATGCATAATTAGATCTATTTTATCAATGTAAGTAATGTCAGTACCTGGATTTTGCTTGCAACCAGCCTCTTGCAGTACCCTGTACAGCAGAGCTCAACTGGGCGGGGGAGAGGCAGCACAAGCAGCCAGTCTATTGTGCTGCAGTGCTCATCTGCTAACAAGCAGCATGCTAACAGGAGGTAAGAGCAGAGTGACAGAGCGACGAACTTATCAGGCTAGGTTCACACCTAGGCGACTCCTCACCGCGCTGCAATAGTGCACGATTCCGCGCGGATTGCCGCCAAGGTGTGAACCGATCGCGCTGTGGGTGTCATTATTTTCTAATGGCACTCCAGTCGCGCCCAGCAGATCGCGCGATTCCGCCCGTGCTTCTGAACACGAAAACAGCCGCGCATCGGTTAATTTTGGTTGCCCCTGTCTGCCTGACATCATGTGTCCGGGTTTTAGTTGCCATGACACCCGGACACAGCATTCAAAACCCGGACTGTCCGGGTGAATCCTGGACAGGTGGCAACCCTAATTGCCATTCATTTAAATGGCACCCCAATGCACCTCCCAGCAGCTTTTTTCACTGCACCACAACACATTGCCAGGAGGTGTGTTAGGGTGCCATTCAAATGAATGGTAATACACCTAGCACATGGTAACACATGCTAGGTGATTCGTGTGATAACATGCAATAATTGCAGGGCATTTAACGCTACGCTTAGGTGTGAACTGGTCCTAAAGAGGGCACAGGCAGCATTTCAAACTTGACATGAGGGTCTAAACCTTTCCCACTCTATCCAAAACTGGAAAAAAAACAGTTTTTGCCTATTGATAAACTTTAGAAAGAGATTAGCAATGAGCACCAATTATTTCTCACACTACAGGTTCTCTTGAGTTATATCCTGAGCCAATAATTCTAGCAGGACATGCAAGATCTTGTTGTTTCTCAACAGTCAGACCAAGCTTTGTAGGATTGCATGGGGCTTGTAGATCCCCAGCTTGTGAAGAATGCTGTCTGTTTGACCAACAAGGAATTGCTGGGACCTGATGTTCCTCAGCTGCTGAGATAGTCATGTCTGCTGCATCACATTAGGAAGAAGGGGTAAAGTATTTGTTCCATCCCAGTGAACACGCAGGTAAGTATTGCTTAACAATGATGCAAGCCAGGAATTTGAAGAGCTGCCTACGTGCCCTTTCATTAAAACCTCAGAGCGGACTGGAATGAGACTCTGGGAGGGACACAAGATTTTACACTTCCTGATACAAGTACAACTGCTCTTACTGCAGGTGGATCTTCACACTCGTCTTCCTTTCTCAGCAGGATGCCGTACAAAGATCTTATAAAGTATTGGCATGAAGGAGTCCTGGCAGTGGACAATGATAATCTGGATTCAGCTTTGCAGAATTTCCTAAGCATTGAGGATTCCACGTCAAAGATCTGGTTCAACATCGGATGTGTCCATGTCATTAAAGGAGATCTAGAGAATGCCTTGGAGGTAAGTGGTCTTTCATTGGGTACTTACATTTCTGATGCTGGCAGCCTGGGTGGGTTCAAAGAGCAAATGAAATAAGAACGTGAAACATTGGCTTCCCCTTTAATTTTTGTACAATAAATGATTTCGACAAACTGGTTCATACACACCGTATAAGATGTATGTACACACAATGTGTTAGAAAATGTTTGTCTTTTCAGTCACCGTACCTGATGTATAACATTTGAATAAGGAATTTAAAAAATGAAACAGGTATGAAAGAAGAATTGAGACAAGAAGTAGGAAACAGAGGGGAGCAAGAAGGAAGAGGCAAAGGGGAAGGGATCATTTGTGATGTACTAGGGACACAAGTAACGGGGGAGTATACAACAAATGGCCTTTAAAGGGTCTCTCCAGAAGCTTAAAGGGGATTTCCAACTTATACCATGACTTTTGTTAACAAAAATGTAATGCATTATGTTGCATTCCATAGATATGGCAGCTGCATTCATAAGGCTTCATATAAGGCTTTTTTCCTTTTTTATCACCAGGTGATTCTGCCAGTAATGTACTTCCTGTCCTAGGGTGCCAGTGCTCATTCACCACACTGTATCTATGGAGAAGCAGCGTTGTCATCCTAGGACTACAAAACACCTTCCACCATGTTAAGTGGATGGAGAGAGGGGGAAGTGTTCTGTTCTCAGAAGTGGCTGATAACAATTCTAACTGATAACTTGCTTTCCTCTCTGCCTGGGCTAACTTATCAGATCACAAGATTTCTGGTGGGACCAATAGGTATTGTTTGTACTTATTGAACAGACATAATGAAACACTTTCAATTGTATATTTAACAGACAAAAAGTGAGCAAATAAGAGAAGGTCATTGTTGTGTTTTAAAGTGTATGTAAAGTCTATCTCCAGGAAAAAGATTCCCCTGCAGTAGGCTCATTCTGCAGTGCAAAGGTTAATTGCTCATTTTTTCTAGGAAGATTGTGCAAAGGTCTTTTCCTTACCTAATCCCCGCTCCTCCAGGCTCCAAGACTGGCACCCACAGCCTCTTCCTCCTCATGCTCTGGCACTCAGAGGACCACTGATGTTATTACACTCCCAGCCCTGCATGTTATGTGAGGATGCTGAGGGACAGTCCACAAGCTAGAGAGGAGGGGAGAGAGGTGATCACCAGCAACCGGAGGTGCGGAGATCAGTTAAGTAAAAGTTCTTTACACAATACTATAGTGTGAATATGCCATAAAGGATTCCTGTGGCAGGAACCTACGGCTTCCCGCAGCAGGAATCACAAATCTCCCGTTTAGCTGTGGCTGCTGTCACCCGTTCAAGTTAACGACAAGGTGACAGCAGTTGCATCTGTAAATGGTACTCTGCATATAATCCTATATGATACGTTTAGGTGCGTTCTGGAATAGATCACTCTCCCTGGATGCATCTATATTGTAACTGTGTCACATACGATTACATGCGAGTGACAGCGGTCGAATCTAAACTTGACATTTGTGATTCCTGCTGCAGTAATCTCAAATCGTACAGTCACACATAGTGTGAATGAAGCTTAGGGGTAATCTTTTTCCCAGAGATAGGCTTCAAAGAAATACAGCCAAAGGAAGGTTTAGATTGTAATCAGCAGCCTTGAACCTGTCCACCATTATTTGATAACATCTTAACTCATTCTAAAAAGGTGTCCAGTCCATGGATCTGGCTGCCATAAAGCAGGGAGCTTTATGGTCAGTGGCGGAGCTAAGGAACAAAGGGCCCTGGTGCAAGATATTTTTTTTGGGCCCCCCTCCCCCCCAAAAAAACCCCACAAACACAGCGCTCTCCTTCCGCAGCGAAAAAATAATTTAAGAGGGTGTGCTTAGGGGCAGAGTTAAGGCTGGGACAGGGTAGGGGTTAGGTGGGCAACTGGTGGCGAGCAACTCTTGAGGCCTGGCTAGTAGCTCAGGACTTGAAATTTTGACTCCTGTCCTATGGCATCTATGTGTGAGTGTGTGGCACACAATATACTGTACATATAGTTTACATATACTTATATTTTCCTTTTTCCTTTGCAGGCCTATAGTCAGGCTCTAAGCAAGGACCCCTGCCTAGCTGTTGGATATTTCCAGAGAAGTTATATATATTTTCAACTTAAAAGGTAAATGATAAACTGATTGAGCACACTCGCCTTTCAGATTATATGGACTGGGTGGTGAGAGGGTCCCAACAAAGGGATTGCCTCAGGGCCATCTTTGATATTGATTGGACCCTGGGCAAACATTTTCTTGGGCCCCCCACCAAGCCAAGCCCGCTAACTGCCATGCAGTTTCTCTCTCCACCCCAACATCCCAAATCAATTTATTTATTTTATATATTTTTTAAATGATTGGCCCAGTAACTTAAGGAGTGTGACAATCAGCCAGCGCTGCAGATATATAAAAAATGCAGTTACTGTTTGAGAATCACCCCCCTCTGCGGCATTCACAAAGTCTGATAGAAGTGACATTTCAGACAGATCAGTTGTTCTAGGCAGATATGATCGGTTCTCCTGCACTTGCGCAGTATGCCGATCTGCCCTGGAACAGCCGACAAAGCGTTGGAATGCTTGACCCAATAGGCGGTCACACATTCCATCGCTGTCAAACTGAGCGGGATTACGTTGTAATGTGTGACCACGTCACCGGTCACACATTCCAAAGAAGTCACAAACTTTGATAAAACACCCGCTCTGTCACTGGCAAATGTGTCCCCTGAGTAGTATCCAGTAGTGTGGGAGGAGCAGGGCACTGTGGCTCTGTCTCTCTCCAAAGCACAGGGATCAGAGCCTATCATGAATGCCTAGACCAGCCGGCCCGCCCATCTGCATCATCAGTTGCTAGGCAGAGCAGACAAAGATACCCTTTGCCGATCTCTGCTGTCTGTCTTATCTCTGGAGAGATAAGAGAAACCAGGAGGGTGAGGGGCAGAAGAGATGGGACACTTACATCCCGCATCTCCAGGTAAGGAGCGAGCAGTGCAGGCTCAAGGGGCAGCTGCTTTGGGCCCCATAACAATGACTGGGCCCAGGGCAACTGCCCCTTTTGCCCTACGTTAAAGACGGGCCTAGATTGCCTGTATGGAGTTTAGATGTTCTACTTATGTGAATGTGGGTCTTTCCTGAGTACTCCAGTTTTCTCTAAACTACTGCTGGCTGAAAGCAGACCCAGGGGAGGAATTGGATGGGGGATAGCGGGACATTTGATCTTTGGGCCAGTACTATTAAGATATGTTGGTCTGGCTGCCCTGCCGGTAGATACTTCGCCATGCTGCATTCTGCAATGCAGAATGGCACCAGCTATACCATACTACAACTCCCGGTAATACTTTATACAGAAATGCAGAATAATTCCCTCAGTTATAGAGGACTACAAATTATGTCACAGAACAGCAACAGGTAACTTGTTTTAACTTCATTCTTTATAGGGAGTTCTTGTTATTAACTTTTTAATTTGACAATGGAGTCACTATTAGAATGAGAGGATCCCTATTGAAAGGGGCTGTTAGGGTTTGTGAACACCAGGCTCTTCAGTTTAGTATACTGTATTAGGCCCAGCATTTGGGGGAGTGAGCAACGGTAATGCATGCTGAACATTGCCAAAAAATCGTCTATGCGGAGATGCAGACAGTATTTAAAAGACTACAGATGTTCCAACCATTTAACACTCTTTCCAATATTTTGGCTGAATGTGGGCTTTAACTGACTGGTGAGTAATAATAAGCGATTATACAAATGAATGAGTGAAAACCATGTTTATAAATGCTTGTGTGCTTAACTCCCTCGTGACCGACCAGAAACAGCCGGCTGGGTAGATATTTATAAACCTCCTTGTTTGTCTAGTATGTGCACAATGCCTGTGATAAGACTGTCATTAGACAGCACTGATCAAAGGCAAAATCCAAAGAGCCAATCAGTGTGGTTTTGTACCTTGTGATCACTGTGAACCAATCACAGCAATCACAAGTGTAAACACTGGCTGTGTCTTCACACAGCCAGCCCTCCACCTCCTCTTACAAAAGCCAATGGCTGCTTTCCATGCTTCTTTCCATAATTATAAGCATCTCAAATGATAACTGGGTATGTAAGGGTTTTGTTTTGTCTTACAGAAGACATAAGGATGTTGCTACGACAAAAATCTTATAAAATGACTGCAGAGATCTATAATTATGCTGAAATATTTCTATAAGTAATGATTGCTGCCTTTTACGCATAGAAAATGGCACAACTATTGAAATATGAAAAGCATCATAAAATTTTTGTTTAAAAAAGACCATCATGAAGGTTATAGAAATGTGGTTATTGTTACAGTAAGATTTGTAAAGACTAGCTGTTTGGATGTTTTTATAGAATGTATACATACCTCTCCTTCCTGTAAAAGTGTGACTAGGTCCTTCCCCCATAGAATACATTTTAGTATAAATGTAAGGGTCCCCACACACCTTACGATTATCGTACGATAATCGCGGGAAATCCCGCGATCGTACGATGATCGTAAGGTGTGTGGAAGCCGTGCGACCTCTACTACTGTAAGGTCGCACGACTTTAAACTTACGGACATGTTCGAAAACCCGCCGAGCATCGTACGATGTTCGGCGGGTTTGTGGCATGTCCGTACGATAACAGCCGTACGGGCCGGTGTGCGCAAGCGCACACTGCCCGTTCGGCATCGCGGTCATCAGAAGCCCGCCCCTCAGGGGGCGTGGCTTGCGATCATCGCAAGTACGATCTGCCTATGCAACATAGGCAGATCGTACGTTTTTTTAAGTACCTTACAACCATCGCAAGACAGAAGTCTTGCGATGGTTGTAAGGTGTGTGCCCAGCCTAAGAAAGACATTTATTTCTTATGCTATTTAACAGAAGGTATGAGAAACAGGTTGTTTTTTTAATGTTTTGTCTTTTTCCTTTTATAAAGTAAAAACGCAGCGGTTAATAAATTCCACCAAAAGAAAGCTCTATCTGCCTCATAAAAATGACATAAAGTTAATTTGGGTACACTATTGTAGCTGTCAATCAAACTATCACGGCACTAAAATCTGAAGCTTGGTCTGGAAACGACAGGGTGTATCATGCTGTTATTGAGGTAGTTAACAATCTGACAGTTAGCCAACCATCTCTGTCTAGTTACATAGTCAAGTTCTTTTGTTTCTCCAAATAACAAAATATTCTATGATCTTTCTCCTCGGCAGGTATGAGAAGGCGTTGAGTGACTGCCACCTGGCCCTATCTCAGCTGAGAAACAACAGTGTTATAGATTACAAGCAGCTTGGACTCCGCCATCTACTCTTTGCCTGGGAGGTAGGAAGATGTCTTAGTAATGGGTTCCAGGTACTCTTTAACCTGTCATTTCACATCAGTCTCGCCCAGAGAGGGATCTTTACTTTTCTGTCTTATTACAGGGAAAGACCTGATAAAAAGGAAGCTCAAAATATCTCTGAGCACTTCAGAATAACAGCAACCAATTGGGCAAAAGTAGCACTGGCTGAGAATGTGTGCTGTAGATTGGTAGGATAGTGACAGTAGAAACCAGAATGGTTGGTTGGTAAATGGTTGATGGAGAAGTCGGAATGGTTGGTTGATAAACGCTTGGCAACTTTGTGAAGGTTATTTGCTTTGGTTAAAAGATGGATTTTAAAGGCGACCTTGGGGAAATGGTGCATGCCCAATCATGATGATGAGGGAACTTTCAGACATGTGTAGGAGCGCAAGAGAAGTCCAGGAGGCATGTGTTCAAATTGGTGGTCAAGGATAAGGACAGAAAAACTTTACAAGCACAGCAAAGTTCCAGTTATACCTACATCTGTAAGAAGGTGCGGGATTGTTGAGGACTTTGAACTGTATCCTGTTAACAATAGGAAGTCAGTGCAGTGCAGAATCTTTGAAGAACAAAGAGACACCATCCTAACACATCTGGGAATAGTGGATGATTGCAAAGTAGTGTGTTACATTAGACAAGACAGGTGGTTATGTATATAAAAGGGACAGATGTGAAAGATTCTACTCTGTTGTAGATGGCTGGGAGGTGATGACAGGAGACTGTGTAGGGAGAATGCAGAGTCAAAAATCACACCCTAGTAAGTGAAGGTGAGCAGGCGGGTTTGCTTGGACGTTGTTAAAACATACTGTTGGGTCTAATAAAGAAGCAGTTTCAGATGTTTTTCTGTTGTTTTTGTGCAGATCCTGTATAACACAGCAGTCATCCTTTGCTACCTAGGGCAATGGAAATCTGCCCAGGAAAAGCTCAATGGGGCTGTCAGCTGTCTGCCGAGTGAATTAAAAAACGCCATGTTGGAGTCCGCCTTGGACCAAATTCAGGTGAGCAGCTTTTGTGCCGGTTACTATCACTCACCACAGTAAGTCTGAGAAAGCTCATCCAGAGGATACCCAATTAGATTCCAACTGTCACGCTAATGATTTTCCAAAGCAAAACATTTCATACAAAACTGCAGTATAGGTATTAAACAAATGGCTGAAATAGTCACAATAGTCATATCGTATTACTAAACAGAATAGTATTTTTGTTATGGAGAAGAATCCAGTTTGAAAGTGGTCACTTTGTATGAATCTCAGTTTTTTTCCCATCATCTATCTTTGTATCCTCTTTGGCATCCCCAGAAACGTCTTTTTTTACTAGCTCAGCTGTAAAATTGTAGTTATACGGAGTAAAAGACATTACTTTTCATGGAGTACGAAGATAACTGAGGCAGCACTGCTAATAGAGATATAGGCGAGTTCTCCACAACAACTCCACTCCGGTTAAAGGGCAAACAATTGGTTCTCAATCAGGGGTGCTTTATATGGTGGCTGAAAGCTTAGCCATTACATTTCAGGGAATTAATAGATCAGCTTCATCAGGGCTATAATAAAATAAGATTATAAACTAACAAATATAAGAAATATAGTGTTATATACAAAATCACGATATCAAAATGTAAGCGTCATATTATATCGTAAATACAACAGAAAATACTTGTCATAATAGTTATCTTTGTGCTCCGTAAATAGTAATGGTTTTTCCTCCGTATTCCTACAATTTTACAAAGTGCTAAGATTGCTATTGTGATATATTATATTTGGGATATATTATAATGTTATGATGTTTTATAATTTTAGATATTTACAGATTTTTAAAAATATTTTAATTACTTGTTTTATATAGCTCTGTGGTTCTGATATTTATGTATTTCTATTAATTCCCTGGAACATGTTGGATAAGAATTCAAAATTAAAGCAAACATTCATCTGACTTTTCTTCTAAAAAGGTTGGCCTCTCCTGGTTGGAGTGGAGAGCCTACTTTATTTATACCGCTGTTTGGCTTTTTTAAAGTCACAGATAGGTGTATACAGGCGCAATCCCACCTAAGAAACCCACTGTAAAGCAGTATGGTGGAAGAAGGCTGACCAGACCTATCTTTATCTGGTGAGAGATCTAAGCAGGATGTTCCTGCAGGTGTTGGGGCAATTAAAGAGGTATTCTACTATCACTAAACCTCTTTAAGATTTTATGCATGAGACCCAGCAGTATTTATTGAATGCAGACCATGACCGCTCTTTGGGGCAATTACATCATAATAACACTAGTTCCCCATAGCTACACCTAATTATGACCTAACCACGGAATTTTTGTTCTTCCACAGAAACGGGTTTTGCTCCAGCCGCTGCACATACCGGAGATTGAGCTCTTCAGGCCTAGAAAGCAGGAAGTTGAGCAGCTAAAATCCAAAGATTTCCTGGGAAAACCAAAGGTGATCAAATCTGGTGACAATGGAATGACTCAGTGTTGAATGTTACTATTACACTTGTGGAAATAACTGGTTGGTTTGGTTCTAAGTGCACATTCCCTACAACAATGAACAATGCTTTGTCAAGCAGTCACAAAGTCAATGATCCTTGTCAATGAACTAGAACCCGGTTTCCTTAGAAACCATGACATTGCTTTTAAAAATGATGAGTTCCAGAAATCACTAGATATCACTAAAACCACTTACACCTAATTTATTTGTAACCAAAGGGCAGTAAGTATAATTCCAGGTATGTGAAAACCAAAAACTTACCTTATCAATCAAATTCACATCAAAACAATCCATAAGTTGAAGAACTTAAACTAAAAAGTCCCTGTAACAGGAGATAATATGTCTTCCTCCACTGTGTGAATAAAGTGCTGTTCTGTGCAAATCTTCACAAGTAGTGCCAAAACCAAAGTGCTCTTCACCTCCACACCTCTCTGCATAGGACCCCTTAAAGTGACATTAAACCCTCAGATTTTTTAACATAAAACAATACTGTAATGTGTGCCTTACTGTAATCCATGGTTGTTTCCCTTCTCTTTGCTGCTCTTCCTTTTAAATCTGTATCTGTTCTCATGCTGGGCAGAACTTCTGTTTTGCAGCAGACTGCCTTGTCTCAGGAATGGATATATGGTGTCTGTGTATAGGTTTGTATAGGTTTGTAACCTGAGCCAGCACTACAGGAAGAGGCCCTGATCTGCAAAGGGAAGTTCTGCCCAGCATGAGAAGACATGAGGATTTAAAAGGAAGAGCAGCAAAGAGAAGGGAAACTACCATGGATTACAGTAAGGCACACATTACAGTATTGGTTTATGTTAAAAAATCTGAGGCTTTAATGTCACTTTAACATTAAGAACATCTTCAGCACTTGATCAAAAGGTTGGTATTTGATGAAAGGACACTTCCCTGTGCATAGGACCCTTACAACTCTTAGGGAGTATCGGTGGGCAAATCCTTCCTTAATGCACCTCACAAGCCCAGCAATAAGAGACAAGAAAAGAGGGATGTGTACATCTCGTAAAAACTGATGCACTACAATTAACCCTTGATCACCCAACAACCTTTACAGTGTAAAAGCACTTAGGCCCTTCTAGAGGGCAAAAGGAATATATCCTCTCCCATCACGTTATTAGACACCTAACGCCTTCTAAAGGATAAATAATAATGTGATGTGAGATGGAAGGCCAGCAATAGGGACCAATCAGACTTGCAATGCACATCTGCTAACTAACAGCATACTGAGAGACAGGAAAACAGAGTGAGCAGAGGGATGAGCTAAGTATTGTGCTGCTGCCCCTTTACTGTCCCATCACAGGCTCTGGGCCGAACGGTGACTTGATTGTATTGCTAGCAGTATAGCAAATTCAGGTAACGTGGCTTTGCGGCGTGTCAGGGTTGTGTAAATCTCAGAGCTGGGAGGACAGAAATACAAATGTTTTGGCAGGTAAAACAGCTCCCATATATCTATATTTAGCTGTTTGTCCTGCAATTCATCTTTAGCTGTTCAGTTTTTACCAAACCTAAAATATCAGTTTGAGATGGACTAACCTTAAAACATATCTGCTTTGTTTATTCCTTAGGTCATTTCCTCTGTGGTTCCAAATGATCAATACAGTGGATTTGAGCCTCTGCGCCCTCAAGTAAGACTAATTTGAATTAATTTTAATTGATTGTACTTAATGTGCCATCCCCATACTGTACAGTGCGCTACACAATATTTTTTGTTTGTTTTAGAATACACGGAGTCATTTAAAGTGGAATTGCAGTTAAATGTGTTTTTTCTTTTGGATAGTCTGATTCCTCTCCCAGTTTTCTTTTCTTTTAGCATATTGTTTTTATTGCCTTTAAAAATAACATATACAGTTATTCCCAATGATACCAATGTAATAAAAACATGTCGTTCCAGTAAGTTCCAGTATGAGCAATGAGTTAACTTCAAACAAATAAGAATAATACATTTTCTGTGCATATATGGAAATCTTTTGGTAGCTTGGTTATGCCATGTTGTAAAACATAGTGAGTAGAGTAGTAGATTTAGCCATCTAATAGTCTTTGGGATATCTGAAGATTTGTGACATATATTTCTGCAGCATTGTGGATGCTTATGTAGATTTACTTCCATTCAGGTACTATGACCCTCATCTACCCCCTGGTCTCCAGTCAAAGGATAAGTGCACTTTGACCCCGTTCACATGTAGCGACATACCTTTGCAGCGGCCGGGATAGCGCGACTTTCGGGGGCGACGTTCCAGCGACAATCCAACGACGGTAGCGCGACCTTCTCCGTCGGGCTCCATAGAAAAAAAGCAAAATCCGGCGAAAAAAGGGTCCGGTAGAAGCGACTTGCGACCGCGACGAGCGAAGCGCGTCATGGAGCTAAGACAGCTCCATTGACTATCATTAGCCGGCGACTTCTCGCGATATCGCGCGGCAAAAATGCGCGATATCGCGGTGGAAATCGCGCGATAAGTCGCTACATGTGAACGGGGCCGAAAAAAGGGTCCGGTAGAAGCGACTTACGACGCGCGACATGGAGCTAAGACAGCTCCATTGACTATCATTAGCCGGCGACTTCTCGCGATATCGCGCGGCAAAAATGTGCGATATCGCGGCGGAAGTCGCGCGATAAGTCGCTACATGTGAACGGGGCCTCAAACAAAGTGCACTTATCATTTTTGCCCCATTTCCCTGACCTAACTTATCCCACCCTCCCCCTCCACATATGTATATTTACCAAGCACCCATTAATAAAATTCACTCCCTCTTGGTCCAGTCTGCCCATATTAGATCTCCTATGGGTCTCTACCACTGTCACTCGGCTAGGAGCTGAGCCCAATACACCTCTATGGGCTCATCTATCGCTGTCTCCCAGCTGGAAGATGAGTCTAATACACTTCTATGGGACTTGTCTACCTCTGTCTTCTGTCTGGGAGATGAACCCCTTAGACTTCTATGGGGCACTACTGTGCAGGCACAGCTAGGAAGACCTGTGCTGAGGGATTTCAACAAACACAGGAGGTCATGGGCATCAGATCTTGGTAAGTATACATACATCAGTGGAGGGGAAGGTGGGATCTGTGAGGTCAGTGGAGGGTATAAAAATAATAAATGCACATAGCCTAGATTGCCTATTTGTTTTCCATAAAGTACCATGTTGTGATCGTGACTGGTGTTGTGACATGATTCTCTCAAGTTGACTCCACTTAATTTCCTTCACATGCTGTGTGGCCTTTGAAACAGGAAGGGAGCCAAATCTCTCAAATGGGGACACAGATAGCATTATAATAATTTGTTTTGAATAGAGTGGTGGAAAGGTTAGATTCTCTATAAAGTTATTGTTCCCCTTTATCCCCATTGTGCAGATTCTACTTACTTCCTGTGTGTTTAACAGTTTTAGGAAATGTCTTTCCATTACTAAACACAGAGCTAGGTCTAGAGTTCTACTTTATAGTTCTTAAAGTATTACCAGTGTCTCTTGAATGTTTGTTGTAATACAGTCTACACCTTGTATTTTTTCACTGCAGAAGCCTGGATTCTATGAGCCTTGTCAGGAAGCCATGCAGTAAGTTCTTGTTTAGTTCTACTATTTTGGGCCTAGTTATGAGTGACAAATACAAACCATGTTTATCCAATGAAATGCACTTGGTGCTGATCTTCAACAAACATTGATTTAGGCCCCGTTCACACCTGACCGTTTTGTAGCGCGTCCTACGCTCGACGAGCGCACTACAAAACGGTCAAAAAAATAAATAGCATTGTAGTCAATGCCCTCGTTCCCACCTAGGCGTATTTCCGCCCGTCCCTAACGCCCTACAAAACGGCCCACGCCTGAAAAGGTCCCGGGACTACTTTGGGCCGTTTTGTAGGGCGTTTTCCATTGGGATACAGCCAAGTAGCCTTTGGAATCGCGCGACGGTCGCGCAACTTTTTTACCGCGAATCGCGGTAAAAAAAACGCGTGGCGGTCGCGCGACAGACGCGCATATTACAATACGCCTAGGTGTGAATGGGGCCTTATAGATGACCAACAGCAACATTGTGAATGCCCTAAGCCCTCTTTCATAAAGTCCCCAGTCTCAGGCATATTTCTTTTCTCAGGGTGTAAAAAATATATCAGTCACTTTAGCAACCTCAAAACAGGAAGATGTGTATTGCAGACTGCATACCTCCCAACTGTCCCTCATTTAGAACCAAATGCATCTGTCCCTCTTTCCTCCTCAGTTGTCCCTCTTTTTGGTCTGATGTTCAGATATCTATGAAAAGGTTCTGTTTAACTACCAAAGTGTCATTCTGCACTAAAACCTTCATCGTATCTCTTTATTATCTTGTTTTGCAATTTCCAAAAGCCAACATAAAGGAAAAGTAATAGTGAAAAAAAGAGTTCTGGGTTAAACTGATAATTTTTGCCATATGGATTTCTAATGGTCCTCATAGCTGAGGGTAAGGCAGGAATGCGTCCATTGCCTAAACACATTGTGCTGTATGGTGTCCTTCTTTCTTATCTCAAAGTTGAGAGAAATGCAGATTCATTATTGAAAGAAGGGTGAGGTGTGGATCAGCACATCCCCAAAACCTGGATGGTCTCAAACCCCAGACTAGGCTCTCCTCAATTTTTAAAGGAGAACTATGAGGTGAGTGCTTTTCACTCACCTCATAGTTCTAGCCGACCTGTGACAATGAGACTGCCACAGGTCGGATCAGTAGATCGGGAAGTGAGCGAACACATACCGGCGGGATCCGCTTCAGCTGCGGCGTCTCAATATACCGTGAGCCTAGGGTGACGGGAGGACGTGGTTGGTGTCCTCCCGTTACACTAAGGAGAACTATGGGGAAAAGCCTTAAACCCATAGTTCTCCTTTAATCTCTTATCTCTGACAAAGTCTCCCTGTACCTTCTGCACACAGACTATACTGACTGGACACTTGTAGAGCTGTGGATGGTTCCCTGCCAGTTGAGGTTAAAGTGGTTTCTCAATCTTTATTTCCCAAGTCAGGACAACATGGAAAGGTTTCTATGTATTCTTCCCACTGAACCCGTCACTTATCACGTCTCCTTTGTGGGAAACGGTCACAGCCGGGCTTCCTCTAGGCCAGACACTTTTTGGCGCACCCCACTCGTTACAATTTGAATGTGGAATTACCGTACCAAAAACTATGTAGTGCCTGACCGCATACAGATTGGATAGTTTAAGTAGGTCCTCATATTACATAGTTATGGTAAATCTAAAGTTAATTATACAATGATTACATGGTCAGATTGTAACATTTATGGGGACCTTTAGAATTCAGCAGCTAGCATCTTTAGGAATACCCCCCAGTTGGGGGAGATCCCTGTGTCTTTTTTCTTCCCCTAGGCCCAAAGTCCTGGAGAGAGAGACAGGTCACAGTGACATCCTTATAGTGCAGAAGCCCATGAGAAAGCAGGAAGTGTCCCTAATATTTACCAGTTCTCCCAGCAAGCATCACTGCCTCATCCCCTACCCAAGCCTACTGATTGGCTAGGTCAGTAAACATACATAACACAGAATGATACTTCTCTAGTACACCCTGCTGGAGCTGAACTAACAAGTACCTCTCTGCTTAGAGATCATTCCTGCTGAATGACTGAAGACTACTGCATCCTACAGAATCACAAAAATACAAAAAGGAATTTGGCAAATATACGATGTCCGTCACTCAAGGCCCTGACTAACCCAGATGCATTGTCAGTAACATTTGCGCACGGTTGCAACGAGTGGCCCATTTATTCCACATTTTCCACACAAGATTCACTTAGAAAAGTGTGTGAACCTTGGGTGAAAATCTTGATAAATAGACCCCTGCTTGTCTATAGGCTCCTGTTATATAAACATATAATTATGTACATGTAAAAACACTTTTTTCTACAGACTTCACCAGATGGGAAGACATGTGGACATTTACTGCCTCTTCCATAACAAAACTTTGATTTGACCTGTTATATCTGATTGTCCGATACTGTTCTGTATGTTAGGGAGTGAGGAACTGTTTGTGTTGGTCCACATTTTTGTTTGATGCTAACAAAAAATGGACAAATGTGTGATGTCAGAATATCTGTGATCAAATGGCCACATTCAGTATTTGAGTGTGGCTTTGTGTCCTTCCTATTGCTGAGTTTAGGGAAATAGAATAATTCATACTAATTTATATTCTGTAACCCCAACAGAGGTCGAGAGGCAGGATATCATCGCGTATTAGTTCATTATTACCCAGAAAATTCAGGGGACGTGGCTGTGAAGGCCAACAGCATTGTGTACATCCTGAATAAAGATGGAGAGTGGGCTACTGCCATCCACGATGGCCAAGTAAGTCAAGAAAAATTACAATGGGACAGGTTGATACAAGACCAATATGCCCGCTCACCTAAAGTGGACCTGGGGTTAGATTTGTGGACCTGGGGTTAGATTTATGTTTTCATGTTTCTATGTATGCTAAGTAATGTGTAAGTATAAGACTTACATGTGTCTATTACCTCTCAGAGGGATCACAGTACTCCCCCTCACAATGCTTTCATCTCTCCTTCTCTAGAAAGACAGAACCCTCTTTATTTAGAAATCAGCCAGGGTGACTAGAGATGCTGGCTCGCATAACACACTCCTGAAAACTCCGCTGCCCGTGCAGTTATATACTTTTGTGTTCACAAAAGTCTGACACAAATTAGCACCATCCTGCACACTTTCTGCTTGTTATTTGCTACAGATTAAGAGTGTGCAGTCTGAATGATCACTGTGGGAGAAACTATGAGAATGCTTCCTGCCAATGACATCATCTCAGGCCAGGCAGTCACTTGTTTGGGACTCAAGGAAATCTTTTTATTTTTTTTATTTATTACAGGTATTTATATAGCGCCAACAATTCGCATTAGTTCTTGCCCTCAAGGAGCTTACAATCTAAGGTTCCTATCTCACATGCATACACATGGGCCAATTTAGACAGGAGCCAATTAACCTACCAGCATGTGTTTGGTGTGTGGGAGGAAACCGGAGTACCTGGAGGAAACCCACACAAGCAAAGGGAGAACGTGCAAACTCCTCACAGAGAGCGTCCTGACCAGGATTTGAACCAGAGACCCCCAGTGCTGCAAGGCAATAGCGCTAACCACTACACAACTGTGCCAGAAGGTTAAATGTTATTAAAAAATTGTATTGTTGCTGTATATTGTGACAGATCAGGAATTTATTCATGTAAACTTGGTGATTCACCAGTTTCCTGGTGTGCATGCATATCTAATCTTCATTTTTTTTTTTTATTGTCTCTTACAGAAAATCCTCATTCCTACCAGTTTTCTGGAACCAGTAAATGCACCCAAAGCTGATATGACGGTAGTTCATTTTACAGTTTTATCTGCCTAACCCGGTTATAAAAAAAACAAAGAATGCTGCTCAATGGTTATAATAGTTGACAAGTGTATTAGATAAGTCCAACCAAAACATGAATAGTGGGTGGATGCTATGGTGCCACTTAGGTGAGAATTACTCTGACATGTTTTGGGGGATTTGATGAGAATTTTAAGATTTTGTTCCAGACTCTACCTCTACCCAGTTTGGCTATTACAAAGCCAAGCAAAGGAGTCTAAAACTAGCTATATACTGTACCTTACGCCCTGTGCGGCTGAATGAAAAAAAATAATTTGATTCCCCCGTTCATGCTAAACAGAGTGGTTAGAGAAATCTTCCCTGCTGGCTATTGTTTTCAGCCAATTCAACAAGATACTGCTAAAATTCAATCTGTATATAGCCAGCATTACTTTATTTGCTGCAGTAGAATATATTAAGTAAAGTAATACCCAACACAGGCAACTAGCAATTTATTGAAATATTGACAAAAATAACTTTCTTTATTTGGCAATTTTCAAAACAAAGTTTGCAAAGTGCTATTAAAACATAAAGTAAAACAAAAGATAAATAAAACATCAATTTAAATTGTAGACTAGTTTCCAGGCATATATAAAGAAAATACCCTTTAATCAAGTTATATTTTTATTAAAATAAACTTGTTGATTTTGAGGACAATTAGGCCCCATTCACACTGCGCGATTCGCAAATCGCGCGTTTGTCACGCGATTTGCATTTTGCGCGATATCGCGTGACTTGTCGCGCGATATCGTGCAAATGCTTGCATTGAAAAGCATTGAATCGCTGCAAAATCCGCTCCAAAAAGGGTCCTGCTAAATAGCCGCGATATCGCGGGAATTACCGCGTGATAAATCGCTCAGTGTGAACAGGGCCTTAGGGGTTCATTTATAAATCATTTGCCCAGCCGTATGCTGGGCATATACCATTCCTGCCACTAGATGGAGCTGCAGAGCATAGGGAAGTCCAATGCCTCTCGGCTCCACCTAGTGGTGATAATGACGTGCGAATGGCATTCGCCCAGCACATGGCTGGACAGGTGATTTATAAATCATTCCCTTAGTTTAAGTTCTTGAACTCTGTACATATATTTGCTTCTCATAAATCCCTGAATATCAGAACTCAATCTTATGAGAACCAGCAATGTGAGCTAGACTTGGACTCATGTTCATCCCCAGCCATTTACTTGTGATGTGTTTTGAGTCACTTAGTGGGTGGGCCTTGACATGTACTCAACAATGGACGAGGAGCACAGGCACAATCAGCAACTTGGGGGTGGGGAGGTGCCCTGCATGTATGAGGGAGAGAGTGAGGTCACTCTTCTGGCTATATAGTGCTGGAGAGATTTGTGAAAGTCTACGTGGACAAAATGACAACTCTTGGCAGCTAAAATTGTTAATGTGTATTTAGCTATCAGACTGTGATAAAATAAAATAAGACATCATAAAAGCTTCTTAATATCCAGTTTAGATTGTTCAAAAAAGAAAGTGGATAATTCAACCAAAGAGCTTCCGACTCTGAACCCCCCAGAGGTCTGTCCCCCCTGCTCTTGTAATTTTCTCCCTGCCTTCCCTTGAAGTCTGAACAAAGCTTGAAGTTAGAATTAAAGGAGAACTATGGGGTCAGTGTTTTTCCCCATAGTTCTCCATCAGCAATGTCATCATGGGTGAGAACCTTCCAAAGCATCTGCAGACTTCATGGGATGCTAAGAGAATCAAATACTTCTTCTTAGGACACTAGAACTAATCATGTGATTGTGGTAGACAGGGCCTCTTACATAGCACTGCTTTCAGTTATACCTTTGGAATAACTCCACCTCTGTGCCTGCGCAGGTTTGTTGATCTGGGAACACCTTCTACTTACCTTATTGTAAAGTAGGCAGTTTTTCCAAACACACCTTCTGCAGGGCACTTGTTGTCCCTCCCACACAGGAAGCTTAAAGCAAAACTCCAGGATTGATTCAAATTAACCCTTGCAGTCCGGGGGGTAAGTGCTTGTTTTGGTCTAGGGACAAAAATAAAGAAGATCTACTCGCCTGCCTCTTCTCCCCTGGGCTCCGGCGGTCTAAGAACCAGTGATGTCATCACATCTAATACAGGTTTAGACGGGGGGACGCCATGGGACATACCACAGCCAAAGCAGAGGGGAGCAGTCAACTCCGTAGGACCAAGGTTTGGGTGAGTATAACTTCTTTATTTTCGCTGCTAGACCAAAACAAACACTTAACCCTTGCTGTGCAGGGTAGCCTCACTGCAAGGGTTAATTTTAATAAATCCTTGAGATTCTTTAATGCTTCAAAGTATTAGTTCTAATACATTACTCACAGCCACCAATCAAATTCAAATGGTTGTATGGTTGGATCTAATTTGTGATACATGAGGCAGAGGGAGTTTAGAGCTCTGGGAGCAAACCCAGTCATCACACATGAGTTGTTCTCTGGAATTTGGCTACAGTGATTGAAATAGAATTTTGAAGTGAGTGAAGTTGTTAACTTAAGCACATTTGCAGTGTTTGCTGTATTACAACAGCAGTTCCCTAGATCATTTTACGTATTTCTTCTTCTCATCCATATTTCAATGTCTTCTTTTGGCAGAAAGTGAATAACGGAATCCCTCTGCCACCCACTAAGATGCCCCCAACCAGGCCCAATGTCAAGCCAATAGGTGAGATGTGAAACATGTGGCTCATTTTTCTGCTGTGTTATGACAACCCTGACTCACCTTATTCCTGTTTTCTCTGGGTCCTGTATCATCAGCTCTGGATGTACCAAAGAGACCTGCGGCTGACCCAACAGAAAACCAAGAGGTACAGAGAAGTTGTTATTGTAACTTAAAAGACCAGTAAGCCAAAAAGATATGTTATTTTCTAGAAAAGACCCATCAAGAACATTTACCACCAATACCTCTGTAAACACTGCTTTATAATCAGCAGGTGAACATCTGGAAATCCTATATGTACATGTCAAAGTAGGACTGAACATTTTCTATATATTCAATATGCTCTGAATCATGATTAAAGGGCAGAGATTAACCCAAGCACCTCACAAAGATTTGGTGCACTGCACTTCAGTATTGTAGGGGGTGCAGTTTTGCTAACTGTCAATTCTACCTATTGAGCCTCATGCACACTATTCGATTTGGGATTCCTGCAGCAAGAACGCCAAATCGCCCGTTTAGATGCGTTCGCTGTCACCTGTTCAAGTTAAAGGAGAACTATGGGGTCAGTGTTTTTCCCCATAGTTCTCCTTAGGGTAATGACCAGGTGACAGCAGCCGCATCTGTTAGCGGCAGTCCACATGTAATTGTATGTGATATGATTACATGCAGGTTGGGAATAGATCACTATCCCTGGACACATCTATTATCAGTCCTACCAAGTGATACTTTACCTATTGGTGGATTCAATCAATCCCTGGCTTCTTATTTGTCTTGGAAGCTCCAACAGCGAGATCTTCCTGTTGCAATTCCTGAGTCTGCTCCTGTTAACCTGGGAGTTTTGTATGTTCCTGCTCCCACTTTTGTGTTGTTCCTACTACCTTTGGGAGTTCAAGCCCTAAATATGAAAGGACAGAGGGCAGGGGCGTAACTAGAAATCACAGGGCCCCATAGATAAAAATTTTGTATGGGGGCCCTATGATTTCTAGTTACACCCCTTGAAGAGCCCACATAGCTCACCTGAGGGTGATGACCCCCCCGGGCCCCGCCTCCTCCTGACTCATTGACTCAGCAGCGGCTATGGAGAAGAACGCATTGCTGCACAGATCACGGTGATCTGAACAGCGGCGCGTTCGAACCCATAGTGACCCAGGCGGCCCGCACGGCATCAGGGGGGTGTCCTGGTCGGGCCCCCCTGTGCCCGGGCCCCATAGCAGCCGCCTGGGTCGCTATGGCTATTGTTACGCTACTGACAGAGGGCCAGCAGCTATCTAGGTAAATTGTTGTTTACTGATTCATTGTATTTGTCACTGCCCAGCCTGCAATAGCTGATAACATAACATAGATTGCAGTCAACTGTTAAATTCTGTATCGATGCTAAACGTCTCATGTTCTTTTGAAGCATTTGAGATTGTATATATATTTGTAAAACCTATAAATATGGAATTTTTATAAAGTACGTACAATGTCCAATATAGAGGCTCTTTACATGTTGTGATGTATGTGTGCTTCTTTCTGCCTAAGGTGAGGAGAGAGGAACCATTGTCAGATGACTCCGCTAGAGAGAACCACATGGTGGAGTCACGTGTCCCTCCTACAGAAAAGCAATTGCCGGATGCATCTCTCTATCCTAGACTGTTGAAAGAGATCAAAACTTGTCCGCAAAACTCCTTTCAAAAGGTGGAGATGGTTGTCAATTTGCAGAGCGTACCACAAACCAACCAAGAGACTACAGCGGTAAGTATTCCAGTGGTGAGTTTTCATAATTTGCTGCGGTCGAGAGCAACCTCATTGTAGACAGTTGTTAAATAATTCCCAAGCACAATGGAAAATTAGCTGTTGACCTGTAGCTTCTAAGCATGGTTGTGGCAAACCCAATAGCTAACAGCTTCAGGGGTAACTACACCCAAAGAACAAAAATGTAATATATTGCAGCTTACCAATTATGTGGTGACTACATTAGTTTTCATTTTCTGCAAGTACAAAAAATACAGATTGGTCTTGCCAGAAATTCCATGTCCTTGTCACTTCCTGTGATCGGAAATACAAGTGCAATATTACCTTCCTTTTGTAAACTAGTTATCTCCCCATGTGATGGAGATGTACAAAGGCACCATGTTTCAGTTCAGCCTGAATGGCAACCATAGATCCTTTCATAGATACAATGGATGAGTGACCAAAGCCACCCAGGGAAATAAAATGTGATTTTCACAAGATAACAGTTTAGGAAGGAAAAATAACCAGAAAGAGCATGTGTGCAATAGGTCCTGATCTGACTGAACTCTGTGTAGTTCTTTTTCTCTTTTGCCTGATGATGGTCAGATTGCGCCTATATGACCATCGGTACATTTAGGTTTCTGGGTGACTCAATATAGCACTAGTGATGCCCATAAACATGAGAGATAATTGTCCTATCTGGATGATTTTGGATGGACTTGGCCATGATTAGATATCTAGCAACTAGGATAACTAGTATTGTTTAGTTCACAGTTAGGCAGGCTTCAAAGGTGTCTGCCTTCTCTTCCACTTCTCTGTTTCGCAGGCATAAATATGCACAATTGGGCAACTCACGTGTGCATGTTTACGCCACTGACATTTTAAATAAATGTCTTCATCTAATGTCTACTGCCAGCCTAAGGGCCTGTGTTAATGGACTTCAATGGGCAAATGCAGAGTGCTTTTGATATCAATTTGAGATTCTTCTGGGATAACCCAGAATTCATTGCAGGTGCAGTTCACTTGCATTTGACATGCTTCATCTGCTTTTGAATTGAATAGACTTGTATGGGGAGAAAAGTAGTGCTGAAGTAAACAAAAGCCCGTCAACACTGGCCCAAAAGGTGACTATAGACAGTAGAGGGATTGGCTTATTGAACAAGGTAGGGGAGGCCACCTGCAAAATGCTTATGTATCAGGGGGAGTATAATGGCAAAGAAGCAAGGGTTTCCAACCCGTCCATTTGTCTTTTCTTCACGATGAGCCTTGGTTGATGGAGTCTGCAGGTAACATTAGATCCAGCCATTTTCAGAGACAGTCATCTATTGTTTAGACCGCTTTAAGAGACATCTTGTGAAACTCAATTACCAGGTCTCTGCTTAGTAATTAAAGGATTGTCCTCGGGCATATATATATTTTCAAGCCTCCTCTAACTATAGTAAAACCCACCAAGTCTGTGCACCATTATGACCATTTCATTTCTTTGTTCAGGCCAAGCAAGACCGGATGTGCACATTGGAGCCTGTGGTTGAAGAGGACAACCTGATAACATTACAAGTACACACAGAGTTCACTGTAAACCTGTCAGTGAGAAAGGACATCGCTTTTACGGAGCTACAGCATCAACTCAGACAAAAATTGAAGCAACATGGAGAGCAGATTAACATCCAGCTGAGGTATAAACACCACACCACGGCGGCCAATTTCCCATAGCTTTCAGTTTCAGCATCCTGTTCTTCATGTGTTGAGTATGCTCTTGTTCTATGACATGATGTATTGATTAATAACTGGGCAATGACCAGCGCTGTAACACTGACTAATGGCAGGCTGTTAGAATTTAATATTCAGGTGCTTACAGTGGCCCAACTAATATGAGCCGCTTTCTGATCCAGTATACATATATGCCAGTAGTGCCATCAGGTGACATTTACCCATGATGCTCTGTTCCCAGAACTTTTTATTTTATCCAAGTATTTGGCTGGAGAAGCTTCTCAAGCAATCTGTATTTTCCCACAACAGATCATATTTTCTTTTGTGGCTTTTTCTTATGTGGCTCTTCCAATGCATGTCAATGGAGATTTTCACATCTTGAAGGTCAATGTCCCTTGTAGCTTGTAGCTGAAGCTTGTAGCTCGAACATGAGCTATTTTTTGGCGGATTTTGCGCTTCTTGGCCCCAATAGACTTCAATGGTGTAGCTCAATGTCGCTCATTACTGGAGTTTTTGCGCGAACTTGTTGCGCGGTGTCGCTCTGCACAAGTGTTACTTTTGCCCAGAAATTACACTCTCCGCAAAAGCAGGAAACAGGAAGAGGAATTATGTCACATCAAAGACCACTTTTGATTGGATACAGCCCAATGTAGCAGCTACAAAGTCCCTGTGGTAAAATGCCAAAAGAAGTGCCGTGTAGCACGTCAAAATGTGCACTGTTACCTCAAATAAGCTCAATGTAGCTCAAAGTCGCTCTGCTCAAATCAACGCTGAAAAAGCGCCTGATTTTGTAGTAGCCCAGTGTGAATGGGGTGAGCGTAGGTTACAATCTGTGGTTTATTGATGAGAAGTCTGCACTGGAAGTTGATGGAGCACAGATTTCAGCACTGAAAACAAGTTTAAAAAAAAAGTATTCCCTCAAATGTTCTAACCCTAAACTAACCCTGTAGGTTGACTCTAAAAGTTAACTCTATCCTACTTGCACCCTAAAACACCAAACTTTTCAAGACCACCTTAACCTTACCCTTCAGTAAAAAATGCTTGCCTCCCAACGCAGAAGCCACCGCACATTGCTTGGCAAGTTTCCATAGTAAGTGCTAAGATATGCTCTTCAACTTGGCGCAATCACCTTGCAAGCCCCATAAGCTGTTACTTTTCTGTGGAAACTCGATTAGTGACTTAGTGGGGGGTGTACAACTGTTTCTACATTGGAAGGTAAATATTATTTGATCAAAAAAGAAAAGCGGGACAGACGGGTGGATATCTTTTTTTGCACATATGCTTTAACCCAACAACGTGCACCTAACCTCCTGAATCATAAATCTAACGATTTAAAGCAAGCCTGTGCTCTGACTTACCAGTAGCACAAAATTCAAATTTCCTTTGTTGCCTCACGGGCCCCTTTTAAGGAAAGAAGGAAAATACTCTGTACTTACATGCATGGAGGAGCATGTGACTCACTCCCCTTCTTCCCACATGACACACTGGTGCTTGGTAAGTGGGATCAGCATTAAAGTGAACACTAACATAACCCTTGCAGATCTGTACTTACCTTCTCTTGCCTGTAAAATATCAGGCTAATAATAAGCTATAATGTTGGTGCAGAAAATACCTAATTGGTCAAATGTGATTGGCTGCTGTGGGGCAACAGAAATTGTCTGAGGTGATTCTTTACTAAGACACTTTGATAGATATGGCCAAATGGAACAATGGAAAATGTAGACGTGCAACTGCCCCAAATGTCAGCATTGTGCTGATTGATTGGTTTATTGATCAGTTACAGGGATTCCGAGAAGAAGCAAGCAACCCCGGTGATCGGAGATGCAGACCTCAAGCAAATGTGGGAACAAGCCAATCAGAAGAAACTCATTCTGTGCTGTAAGGTAACTAAACCCCAAAACATTTAATAATCTTTGTTGTTTTTGCCCCTTTCTGCTAGATGTTAGAACATTGTTGGTGGAATTTGCCTGCATTCAGCCACAATGCTTAAGTTAGGTTGGCACTGATGTTGGTCATCATTTGGGTTGGGGTCCATTCCCCATGTAGGCCTTTTCTTCTACTGCCATCTCCACAAACTAACTCTGTTGGGACCTCACTTTGTGTACAGGAAATAGCCTTCACAAACACCATGCATGGAATTATCAACACTGTGCTTATTCAGCTAACGTTAGTTACAATAATGTAATGGCGTTCAACATACTTTTGGCTATATTGTTTATTTTATATATTTACTGTATATCTGTAGGATACATACAACTGCGTGGGTAGGCCCATCCTATATCACATGAGAGCCATCTATCAGTATTCTCCAGAAGGACCAGAAGATCTGACCTTTAACGAAGGCCACATCATTGATATCCTCTCAGAAGGTAATAATTGACTTCCTTGCTCATTCATCAACCCCTGTGCTTTTGATGGAGATTTTCTGATGTTGCTATTGTACACCATCCAGGAGAAGAGTGGTAAACTTTGGCCAGGGGGGCAAATACAACCACAGATTTATGTGAGCTAATTAAAGTGTACCATGCAAATTGTGCCATGGTGTACCATTGATTGGTGGTTTTTAAAAAAGTAACATGCATTGATCAGATTATTTACATTAAAGAAGAAATCCGGGCATATTAAACATTAACCCTCGCAGTAGGGCTACCCACCTCACTGCATGGAATAAGTGCTCATTTTGGTCTAGGTTCTAGAATAGAAAAGATATACCCACACGATTCTCAGTCCCACCTGGCTCATAGACTGGTCCTGCAGCCTGTTCTCCCCTGTGGCTCCGGTGGTCTAAGGACTCATGATGTCATCACATCTTTTCACTTGCATTGGACTTGAGGATGACGAGGGACATTCCACAGCCAGAGCAGAACTGGAGAGAGGTGAGCGTTCACCACCATGGGACCAAGGATCGGGTAAGTATATCATTTTTATTTTAGACGCTAGAACAAAACGAGCACTTAACCCTTACAGTGCGGGGGTAGCCCCACTGCACGGGTTTATGATTAATATGCCCAGAGTTTTTCTTTAAGGTAAATTCGCTTAGATGTATATCTCCGAAACTGTAATCTCCCCATAATAATATTATTTTATTACCTGACAGTGAATGGCGAGTGGCTGGAAGGTCACTGCAATGGAAGTGTCGGAATATTCCCCAAGTGTTTTGCTACAAAACTTGAGTGAGGCCTAAAGGAAAACCTACGGCATCCTGAACTTTCTCATCAGCTGATAGGAAGAGACCGCACAGTGTTGAGTCATCACTAAATACTGTACCTGATGATGTCCTGATATTCTTCTATGACTTCTGAGAATCCTCAAGCTGGCCAAGTCATTCTTCAGCAAATCAGGATTTCCAAGTGACATTTGGATGGATACCTTTGATGAGAATTGAAATATCTACTACAAATGCAATGTGCAAATGATCACACGTTTCACAAACATTCCTGGACTTTGTTGTGCAAAGGCTTGGCCTGAATGTTCGAGGTCCTTAACTAGGTTCTACATGGTCACTATGCTAGAACATCATACTTCTTGAAATCCTTGCAGTGGAAGTGGTAATGTGAATGCTGCAAGCAGTGATACAGCGACTTAATGGACCGAGTCATTTGGAGGGATGCCCTACGTGTGGAGTTTAAAATGAATCCATCAGCAATTAGTAAAACCAAACTCCCGGAAAAAATGATGATTTACACACTGCGCTGGATGTGTAAATTATCATTAAAAAAGCTTCCTGTTATATGTGAAGGGCTGCCGCAAAGTATCAAAATCTTCCCTTGCAGCATGCTGTCTCCTGCATATAATGCCCAGTGCACCTAGCTTGCGATATTGTGCGCTGGTGCTTTGCATTGCCATTCACTTGCATGGCACCCCAGTGCACCTCCCAAGCAGTTGTACATTGCTGCTCAGCACACAGTACTGCAATACCATGTGTTGTGGTAGAAAAAGTAGTGTGGGAACACACGGCCGCCGGGAGGTGCATTGGTGTACCATTCAAATAAATGGCAACACACCAGCGGACGGTACTGCACACTAGGTGAGCTGTGCGATAGTGAGTGCTAAAAGCACATACCGTGCACGTAAAAGAGAACTATGGCCCAACCTTTTTTTGGCCATAGTTTTCCTTAGGGTCACAGGAGGACATTTACTACAGTCCTCCTGTGACCCAAAAAAACAAATGTTTGCCTGCTATATGCTGACAGCGCAGAGCCGTGCCGCAGCTGGGACAGATCTCCACAATATTGTCAGGATCCACCCTGCTGCCTGATTGACAGCTGGCTTTGCCTCTCTAGAGCCAGAGCCAGCTGTGCCCCAGTGACGTGCGGTACCTTCGCTTCTTGGTGAGGCATTCCCCAGCACGCCGAAGCCCCACCCATATCTAGCAGAAGCTCCATCCCGATGACGCCCCGGCTAGTGTGAAGGAAGGGAGGAGACGGGGAGGAGCCTCCCTGTCCCTCATTTGCTCGTCACTGCTGAGGCATCGAGATCGATGGCCTCAGTGGGTTTTTTTTCTCTTTTTTTTGATTGGACAGCTTGGACCAATGGCGCTTTGCCTTTGGTCCAAACCATCCACAGAGCTCACGCCTCTAACAAAGAGTAGGGGCTGTGACAGCTCATGCCTCACTATGTTAGGCTGCACAAGCAGTGGGGAAGCCCGCTGCTGTGTAACCTAACTACCTGTCAAAAGCCGGATGCAGCACTGCCTTTAATTAACAGGCAGCGCTCTGTCCATGACAGGTTACACAGCGGGGGCGCTTTCCTTGCTGTGTTACCTGTTACAAGCCACTCTGAATAGAGAAAAAGAAGCTGACAGCTTTTTCCTCCATAATACTAGGTGAGGCTCTGCCTCACCTGCCTTCCCTGAACGCACGTCCCTGCTGTGCCCTACCCAGTCCATTCTCCCAGACGGCACTGTGGGAACAGAGTGGTGGGGGGGCAACCCCTGTGGGGGAAAGTGACTGACAGTCTCCGTTCTCTGCAGAGAGAAGATCGGGAACTGATTGGCAATATGTGATCGCTCAGTTCCCAATAGAGCTGACATGCGACAGCTTCATTGTCACACGTCGACTATAATTATGGGGATGAGTGTTTTTTTTACTCACCCCATAATTCTCCTTCAACACAACGCTAGGGTGTAAACAAGCACTACATTTTCATTTTTGTCCTGCAGTTTAGCTTTAAGACATGCCAGCTTATTAGTTTATGGGATCAATAATATAGATTTGTCTTTTATTTCTCCCATTTTAAGACTGTATTTTGTGTTATGTTAGATTTATGAACAACTTAACTTTTAGTTGCATTTAATGTGTCTATTTTATTTGTTTGTTTCTGCTTTTTTACGTTTTTCCTTATTCTGTACTTCCAAACATTATAATGAGCCTAAGGCCCAATAGCTGTAAAATGTTAATGGCAAATCTAGCTGTTATCATTAAAAATGGATGTTATAAAGCATGTCTGTAAAGGTGTTCATTTTTCAGGTCATGGTATAACGAGTAGTAGTTAGTTAACCAGACCGTAATGCTGAAGACTTTTCACCACTCATTCTAATTCAACCTGATGGTAATGCTAAAGACTTTTCACCACTCATTGTCAGGATCCAGAGCACCCCCAGGTGGTGCTGGAGCCAGGTCCTGCAGTTCCTGTGCTCGCCTGTGGGTGTCTCCAGCAGCCAGGAACTGTCAGGAACCTGCAGCTCCAGTACTCACCTGCGGGTGTGCCCCAGCTGTGACTGATCATCCCATCACATGGTGCTTCCTGGGAGGGTATTTAGGCCCTACCTGCAGTCAGGAAGCTGGCTCAGTATTGCGTCGCCTGCACTTGGCTGATTCCCATAAACCTGAACCCTGCTTCCTGAACCCTGCTTCCTATCTGCAGACCTGTCACCGACCCGGCTTGTTACCCGACCACTCTCTTGGATCCTGTTCCTGTACCGTGCTGCTGCCCTCCTGTTAACGACCCGGCTTGTACCTGACCACTCTTCTTTTATCCTGAGGCCTGCCATATATCTGCAGGCCTGTTACCCCTCCTTGTTGCTTCCCCCTGGCTGTAGGTGTGTGTTTGTCCCAACGGTGGGTTTATTACTTCACTGCTAAACCTGTGGGGGGTTGAGGGGGTTTGTAGTTTTGTTGTTGTGTAGCAAATAAACTGTGTGCATAGAACCCTATCCTGTGTGGGCATATTAATTTGGTCATCCTGCGTGGGTACCTGCATGTGGTGTGAGGACGCCTGTGCATGGTACCCTGACACTCATCCACATTGAACCAGACCGTAATGCTGAAGACTTTTCACCACTCATCCACATTCAACCAGACCGTAATCCTGAAGACTTTTCACCACCCATTCAAATTCAACCAGGCCGTAATGCTGAAGACTTTTCACCACTCATCCACATTCAACCAGATTATAATGCTGAAGACTATACCACTCATCCACATTCAACCAGACCGTAATGCTGAAGACTATACCACTGATCCACATTCAACCAGACCGCAATGCTGAAGACTATACCACTCATCCACATTCAACCAGACCGTAATGCTGAAGACTTTTCACCACTCTTTCACATTCAACCAGACCATAATGCTGAAGACTATACCACTCATCCACACCGTAATGCTGAAGACTTTTCACCACTCATCCACATTCAACCAGACCATAATGCTGAAGACTATACCACTCATTTACATTCAACCAGACCGTAATGCTGAACACTTTTCACCATTCATCCAAGTGGCTTTCTCAGTTAACAAAAGTGTCACCAACATGTCTCATCAAGGAGAACCCCTCACCTTAATCTAATCACCGGAGGGTCCAGGTGTTTTTGAAAATCCTTTATTTCCCTGAATTATAAATGACATCAGTTGTTATATGAATTAGTTGCTGGTATGTAACCAGTTGATTAGTCGGAGCTTATCTGAAAGGGACAGAACGTGCAGAAAACTGTGCTGGAAGGTTAAACTACCTGATACCCCTTCACCCCGATACCCTTTTCTCTCCCCTGTATCCACACAATACCTCTACTAACAACAAAACAGGTTTACACACACACATAAGACTTCATTCACAAAGCTAACAAACCAGGATAAAGATTTTTATTTTCAAAGAAGTGACAGTTCTTCTTAACAGTCCTTTATAATGTGAAAATGACAGTCACTTGACTAAAATAAAGATACTTATCCTTGTGTTAAACCTTTGTGAATTGAGCCTATTGAGTGCTCAGTTTATTTAGCTCGGAACCAAGAAAGTACATTATGCAGCATGCTTTCTGCCAGTGCTGCTGATACTTGTTCTTGGTCAGATCATTACACTGTGCTTTCCCAATAATAGATTCATGTTTACAGATTGAAATGCATTTCAAGGTTATTTGGGGTTTTTACTGATACAGAACTCCCCAAATTTTCACAACTTGTGCACCACATTTAGATGAAGCCAGTGGGGAAGAACCACACTCAATATTAAAAAAAAAATCGCACAAAAAATGTCTAATGGTAAATCTCCAGTTTACATTTTCAACAAAAGAGATCAGAGTTCAAACCACAACAAATGTTCACTGTCGTGACCCCAGCACGGCTGTGACAGGCCAAGCTTGGCTTTTTAGCTTTGCTACTTTTGTCACCAAACTAAAATTTCTGACATAAATGAACTTTCATTCCTTCCCCCTTTAAGAGGGGATTCTGGAAATGTTCCTTCACTTTGTCCTGTAATGCCCATACAAAAAACGAGACTGTGGTTGTCACCAGGATAGGACAGAAACAGCAATAAAAATGCTATCAGAAGCTCTAACCTTTCCACGCTCAACTTAGGGCCTATTCACACCAAATGCGTTAGCATCAGTATTTCAATGGATGTCAACAGATGCCAACGAGAGGTAACCTGAAAAATGTATGGGTGTGAATGGGACTAGTTGTCTTTTTCATTCGGCACAACGTAACGTGACAAAAACAGAGGTAAATCACAACGGAACTAAAGTAAAAGAAAAAATACATAGATGTTTTCTACTTAGGACATGCTAATTAAAATAAAGATTGGCAAAAATTTAAAAATAAAAAACACAGAACGGAATGGAAGTCAATGGAGGTTGGAATTGCAAGTCAAAGGACCTCTGTTGACTTACGTTTTAAGTCCGATTTTGGTGTGAACTTGCCCTAAAAATGTGTTCATATTGGAGAAATTTCCCTTCACTTCTGGCACTGACAGGAAGTGAGAGTAAATCTCACCAGCAAGAACACAGACAGCAAAAAACAAAATAAAACAGAGGCTCTGACCTTTCCCATTTCTATTAAAAACAAAATAAAACGTTCTGAAAGTTTGGCTTTAAAGCAGACCTTCCATGGAAAAGATTTTTGGCAGCCCCCTTACTCTCCACACAAATGGCTTTAAAAAGCCATTGACCAAGAAATCCTTCCCTATATGAAATTCAAAAAATACCTCAGCCCTGACTTCTAGTAGGCAGAGGTAACATCATCATGCCTTCCAAAAGTGTCAGAAGCCAGGGCCAAGGAAGGATGGGGGGGGTAGGGAGTTAGGGGACTGGGAAAAAGTTGGACCTTCCATTTTCAGAAGTTTAGAAGGTCTGCTTTGAATTGTGTGTATATAAGGTTTGTGAGGCAGAAGGAGTGCCTAATGAGAGGTTGCCTTGGATCACTGGTGTATACAATTGGATAAGTGTTTAAATTGATGATTGTTGCAAGACTCACTGAATTTTCAAACCGCTCAGTGATACTTAGTCCCCAAAGCTTAGTCCAGAATAATATTTTATTGTGAGCTTTAGATCACAGTCCGTCCCCATGAAATTTCTCCAGTGAGTTTTATAGAATTTTATAGTAAAAAAAAATCTTAATAGAACAGGTCAAAATTCACAGAAAACAAAAATAAGTTACTACGTGGGGCAATTAGAGTAGCCACATGCCATATAAATTAATAATGTTCATTTTTATTGTCGTGCTTGTTCCGTGCTCCATCATTGCTGCGCTCTGGCCTCATGCCAATCCCCCTTGGCCTGAGCAAGCATTCCGGAAGTAACAATGCAGCGGAGCAGCCACCAGTCCTGCTGCCACACTCAGCACGATGAAGAAAATGGCGGCCACCCAGAGGTTGTAGCTGTGAGCCTTCAGAAGACTGGGGCCTTCCGATGGGATCCTATTTGTCATGTTCAGCATGTACCCCAGAGTCCATCCGACGTCAGCATTGCCGGCCTTAGAACAATCATAAAATCGAGATGTGTTATATAATCTGGGGTGGGTGTGTCATGGGAAATACATACTAGAACAGAACATTTATTGTAAAGGAACCTGCACACAAGTACAAAAAATTGTGGCTTAAAATGCACATTCATACCAGCCAACTAGGGTTGCCACCTGTCCAGGATTCACCCGGACAGTTCGGGTTTTGAATGCTGTGTTCGGGTTTCATGGCATCAGAAACCCGGACACAAGATGTCAGGCAGACAGGGACAACCAAAATTAAGATAGGGGCTACTGGCCCCCCACTGAAAACAGTCTCAACTGTGATATTTACATATGAATGGGCGGCGCTATGTACATATGAAGGTTTCGCTAGAAGAAAAGGTGGCAACCCTACAGCCAACTGTGCATGTTTATTCCATATGCAGACAACCCCAGTGCTGGGAACATTAGTGATCAGCCCCAAAATCCTCAGGATGTCGACAGATGTCAGAAGCAGCTGATAATATAAACATGACACCCTGCTCTAACTATTATTGCCTGGAATGAAAAGTAGTCCTTCTCTTAAGCTGAAATCACACTGACGTGTTCTGTTACCGAACTCATGTTAAATCACGTTACATAGTATTTGGGGTTGAATAAAGACATACGTCCATCAAGTCCAAGCCATATAGGTCCACGCATCATCTCATTCTTGGGGATACTCGTATGCCTGGATATTACGGTCCCTCAAGACCGTTTCTTGAACAAATCTACACTCTTGGCTGAAATCACTGCCGATGGCAGTGGGTTCCAGACCTTAACCGCTCTTACTGTAAAGAACCCCGTTCGCCCATTGTGCTGGAATTTTTTCTCCACCAACTTTAGGTGGTGGCCGCAGTCTTTGTAAAGGAGTTAATCTCAAACAGTAATGTTATGCAATGTTAACCTGCATTGCATTACAGCAGACACTTTCTTACAAATGAGCTGCCACAACTGACAAAAACGGTCACATAACCCTTTTTCAACAACACAGCACACCACAAGAAATGCGTTGTGCACTGCACTCTACTGAATGTTACATAGTTACATAGTTACATAGTATTTGAGGTTGAATAAAGACATTAGTCCATCAAGTCCAACCTATTAGGATCTCATTCTAGGAGTACCTGTACCCCTGTATATTACGGTCCCTTAAGAAATCGTCCAAAAGGCACCGGAATACACCATCATTTATTCCTGTCCCATTGCACTGCCAGACTAGAATCCCATGGTAATATAATGGAGGGTGCTGAATGACACGCGGATGGCGCCGCTGTGCTTCTTGCCTGATGAAGGGACCATGCTAGGTTCCAAAACATTCCTTTGTACTTGTGATGCCATGTGTATCTGACATCCAGAAAAGGACGGATCGATGCCTTGGACCTAGGTGTGCCAGTGTCTACTTCTTCTACATTTGGACTACATCATAATGCACAATATGTGCAAAGCATTGTGAATTGTACTCTTCTGAATGGCATGGAAACACAACATCATTTTCAGTTCTCAGCGCTGTGAAAGTTTGACTGAGAATTCCTCCGTCATGCAATATGGTAACATAATTTTTTTTAAATCATTTTCTTTGAGAGGGATAGAGCTGTCTTTTGGTGATATTTAATACCTACTTTTTTGCAAATGAAGAAACATGCCGGTATTGAAGGGGTTAAAACACAGGGCTTGATAATGGTACAGAAGATGCATTAAATGTAAAGGCCATGCACAGAGGGAGATGGAGGTGAAGGGGTTAAAGTGACATTAAACCCTCAGACTGTTTAACATAAACCAATACTGTCATGTGTGCCTTACTGTAATCCATGGTTGTTTCCCTTCTCTTTGCTGCTCTTCCTTTTAAATCTGTATCTGTTCTCATATTGGGCAGAACTTCTGTTTTGAAGCAGACTGCCTTGTCTCTGGAATGGATACATGGTGTCTGTGTGCAGGTTCACAACCTGAGCCAGCACTACAGGAAGAGGCAGTCAGCTGCAAAGGGAAGTTCTCCCCCAGCATGAGAAGACATGAGGATTTAAAAGGAAGAGCAGCAAAGAGAAGGGAAACAACCATGGATTACAGTAAGGCGCACATTACAGTATTGGTTTATGTTAAAAAATCTGAGGGTTTAATGTCACTTTAATGTACAGGTCACATACAGTAAGAGGATAGCGATGAAGGGGTTAATGTACAGATGGGCAATATAAGAGAGGGGAAGGGGTTAACTTACATCAGAGCAGAGACAGAACGGAGATAGCATAAGCAGGAGAGGAGGGGGTGAAAGTGTTAAAATGTTTTAAAACCTTTCTTTGCTGCAGCTTGTTTTCACTAGGACGTAATGAATGTATACCTCAATCAATTCATTAGTTCTTGTACTCTCCTCTGCCTCTTAAGGTGGCCATACACTTTACAACCATCGCAAGACCTTAGTCATGCGATGGTTGTAAAGTAATTAAAAAACGTACGATCTGCCCATCTTGGACAGGCAGATCGTACTTGCGATCATCGCAATGCTGAACGGGCAGTGTGCGCATGCGCACAGCGGCCCGTTCGGCATTTGTCTCCCGAGCATCATTCAGATCATACAATTTTCGGCTGGTTTTCTAGCGTGCTCCTTAGACAAAAGACGTGCGACCGTACAGTAGAAACGGTCGCACGTCTTCATTCACACTGCACGATTCTCGTACGATTGCGGGATTTCCCGTGATTCTCGTACGAGAATCGTGCAGTGTATGGGCACCTTTATGAGTGCAAACATTGCCATGTGAGCGCTGTGATAACCAATCACAGCAATCAAAAGGCAAACAGCTGGTCCAATTGGCTCTGTGCCTAAAGCCTACATAAATCCAACAGCGGAGAGCAGCAGATTCTGCAGCTGTGTGCACAAAAGTGGCCCCAGGAGGACATACAGGTACATCCTCCCGCAACAACGGGGCTGTGGACCAGCTGTACAGCCTTATATATACAGTGGATGGTCTGCAGGTGGTTAAACACAAGGTCACCTTTTGCAACTGAAAGAAAATAAGTGAAATCTTCAGCTGTGGAAAGCATTCTTTATTGTAAGAGCTGTGAAAATATGAGTTGGTCTTTTTCAAGTGCTAGTTCTAGCAAATATTGTAGATTTAAAAAAAAAACCAAATGTCTGCTTGGATTAAAAAATAATATAAAGGGTTACCTTTATTTCTGAAAATACATAGTGGAATGTCAAGAAAGAGGTGATTAAGAGGGGATATGATCACCTTGTATACATCATTTAATGATCCATAGAGTACAGTGAGTGGAAAGGTGCGCAATAGGCTCAAAGTTACTCTTTGCTACAGGAGGAAAAAGTTTAGACCTCTGCATATGCAAAGGTGTTCAACACACACAAGGGCACTCTTTGCGGCTGCAGTTTAGACCTCTGCATATAGAAAGGGTTCTTTACTGTTATAGCTGTGAAATTGTGGAATAGTCTTTCACAGTAATTGGATCAAGTATACTCATAGACTGCTTTACAAAAAGGGCTGAATGTGTTTCTAAATGCACAAAATATAAACAGCTACTAACATTTATATAGGAAAAGATCGTAGGTTGTTATTCTGGAGAGATACCTGATTTGCTTTAGCGATCAGGAAATAAAGTTTCCCCTGCTCGAAAAAATTGGACCAGACCTTTTTGGGTGGAATATGAAGGAGATGTGTAGTCAATCTAAATATGTAACTGTATGGAACTATATGGAACTGTAAAGGACGGAGGGGGATCGCACACAAGCAAGGGGTATGAGAGGGATTTGGTTAGAATTGTTGGTCTAAGGACATGGATGATTTAAAGGATAATGTAGAAAGAAGAGATTTGGCACCAGGATACTCACATAGACACATATGGATTTAAATAATAATATTACCCTCCCTTAGGTGAGGATGTGGGAAGTGGTTAAAGTATGTAAGAGGAGAGAGGAGAGGAAGTAATGGGATATAGATGATAAGGTTATAGACATTTTAAGGAATTAAGAAGTGTAAGAGGTAGGTTGGCAAAGGTGTGAATGGAATAAAGGAATAATTAGAAGAATAAAGATTTATGTATAAATAGAGATGTGAAATGATTATATGATTATATTTATTGTAATAATGAAGTTTTATATTTCTTCTATAAATATGTGAAATACATGTTTTTTTTTATGTGGAATAATAATAAAAATATATTAATATAAAAAGAAACAAATATGTAACTGGGTTGATCCTGGGATATAACCTTTGCCACTAGGGATCAAGAGAAACTTTTTCCCTGATAAAGTAAACCCAAGACCAATGACACTAATGTCATAAACACATAGAAATACGATTCTGCATATATTTCATTTAAATGAATAGTGTACAGTATCTATATATAGATGCCCTAAGTTGACCTTGTTCTGTCATAAATACTATAGGATGGAGCAACAGGTAATAACAGCTTATCACACTGCAGATAGGATTCATCATATATCTGTAGGTACAGGTATACAGCACACACCTGCTTTGAGAAATGTATGTTGTTCCACGTCCGGCTGTCAAACTTGTACCCGTCCACCAGCAGGGTCAGTATGTACATTGCTGAGCTGCAGTAGTCCAACAGTCGCTTCCTGTTCTCGTCAGGGAAATTAGCACTGAGCTGGAGACAACAGTAGGGTCACATAATTAGGACATACGGGGTTAACGGGCCAATTCGCCTAATTTATAACTGGGTTTATATGAAAGTCCAATTAAAGGGTCAGTCCACCCATCCTCACACCCCCAATAATAACTGTAGATCCAATGAGGGGAATTTATCCAAACTGGAGCAGACAAAATCTGGAGCAGTTGCCCTTGACAACCAATCAGCTTCTCTATTCAGTTTGTTCAGTTAAGTTTTGAAAATGAAAGATAGAGGCTGATTGGTTGCCGTACACACCTGCTCCAGATTTTGTCTGCTACAGCTTTGATGAATTCACCTCAATATATCCACAGGAAAAAAATAGATGCATTACCCTTAGAGCGATCATCTTATTGCCTAACGAATTTCTCGGGCACTAAGTGTAGCATGTTTATATGCCAGTCCGAGTTGTTTGGATTTTTTGCGGAGTATTTTATTTATTATTTTATTAAAGTGTCTTAACTATTTTAGGAGCCTACTGTACTCTGGTATCTGTTTGCTGTATTAAATATAAATCAATAAATATTTTTCTCATTGACTTATACAGTATAATTGACCTCTGGCCAGGTCAGGATTATCATTAGCCACAGTAGAAATGTGCAGCAGAGACAAAGAGGTACCCTGTTTCCCCAAAAATAAGACCTTGTACTATTTTTGGGAATTGCTAAAATATAAGACCTACCCCGAAAATAAGACCTAGTTGTGACCATTCCCAGGGCCGGTGGTGGCATAAGGGGGAACTTTAAGAGCCGCGGGAGAGAATCAGCAGTGCCAACAAAGCCAGGGCTGGAGGAAGCGAGGAGGCAGCGGAGGGAGCAGAGCCGCATAAGCTGATGCCTCCTCTATAGCGCCGGCTCCTGTCACAGGCGGAGTGATACCAAATGCACTCCACCTGTGAGGAATCGATAGTGAAAGTGCGCTTCGCTCATTCTGGCCAGCGATTGGTTAGCAAATTGCTCTTAGAAAGGTATGGCACCCGATTGCCCTGATCACCATATTTTTGTACATGAATACATGTAGAGTGTTGTACATTTAAAAAAAAAAGACCTAACCCGAAAATAAGACCTAGGGTGTTATTTTGAGCCAAAAAAAATATAAGACAGTGTCTTATTTTCGGGGAAACACGGCATCTGTTCCATCAATAGTTTGTCATTGTTTTCCCCCAACCATGTATACAAATACAGCTGCTTTATATAAACGTATTCGTACACAGAGCCGGATTTACTCCCTGCTGCCCCAAGGCCAGGTTCCTCAGTTCGTCCCCCTACCTCCCATCCCCCACCCCCCATGGAGAATGGCAGATCTGCAGACTGCCTACAAGTGATCTCGGCGTCATCTCCGAGATCACTTGTACAAAATAAGAGGCTGTACATTTAGCTCTGCTTACCCAAAGCAGGGCTAAACGTAGAAGACAGCTACCCACCCGGTGCCCAAAACTGCATGTCCCGGGCGTCAGGAACTAGAAATTCCACACCCCTGCTGCCTCTCTATTCCCTGCTGCCCCCCTTGGTTGGCCTTGTGGGAAATCCGGCCCTGTTCATACATTGTCATAATATTCTAGGCCAGGTTCAGAGTAGTAAAACTATTATGTTTTTTGTAAAACAGGTGATCGTAGCACAGGGACGTTTATTGGATGCCAATAGTCATAGGTCTATAGGCTCCAGTGATGGAACTCCAGTCCTACCTCTCAACTTATGTGCCATCCAATCAGATTTTACAGTACCTTATCCCAGTCGCGGGTGCAGAAATTCCAGACAGAACTGTTGGTGATATCTAAGGTCTGTCCATCAGTCAAATTCAAGAACTTAAAGGTGTAATAGAAGGCAGAAAAAGCCTAAAGAAATATAATAGGGTGTGGTCAAGACTTTGTTTCATAGTGTACTGTAATGCTTTCCTAAAAGTAATAAAAAAATTATATTCTTTCCCGTATTGTAAGTTTCCTTTTATGTTCCAATGTGCAGCGGAAAAGTTCAACTCAAAACAGATTGATTGACAAAAGACATTCATGACTTCTAGCAGTACAATGCTTCTCTGTGCTATATGAAAGACTCAACTTACAGGGAAAAAAAGTGTTTTTTTTTTAAGGTAGTTCACAGAACTGCACTCCACTGTGGTGAATGTTCTTTAATGCTTCTGCATTTTTCTACTGCTGGTGAAAGTGTTCTGGCCCAACTTTGAGCTTGTCTTGATGGACAAATGCAGCTTTCAGTTACAGTCCACGAGATCAGAGATCAGAAAGTGACACAATTGTACCACTGTGCACTTCTTAAGTGCATACGTATAAATGCGCCATTACACAAGCCAGCCAGGTGACCGGCTCATTGATTGGCCTGTACAGGGCAAAACTTCTACATTTCATATTACTGATGGCAAGGCTAGTTTTTTTAAATAAACTTTTGTACCAGTGATCCTCTGAAACCTTAAGCAAAGGTGCCAAGGTGCTCCCCCCATCCCCGAATCTGAATCTTGACTGGCTCTGGCTGTGGACACAGCAAGGCAAGAAACAGAGGAAGGAGTTGGTTATCCAAAAAGTTTGTATTAAGTGTTAAACTCTTTTTTATAGTTTTTTCCTTTTATTACAATTTGCTACTGACATTATGTGTAGATCAAAAAACAATATTTTGATTTGCACCTAAGCAATTGCTATTAGCAGGCTCTTTCATGGGAGGGCACCTCCCCTGTCTTTGGGATAGCCTTGCTCCGCACAAGACTAATAGTTTGCAGACTGAATATGGCACTCAAAAGCTTTTTGGTGGCCAAAACCTCTGTGAAAGCTCCACAGACTTCACAGGGGTGGGGAACGTGGGGTCCCCCCTAAAATTCCTACCAGACTCTTCATCCGAGCACAGGCCCGGTAGGGCAGGACATGGAAAGTTCAAAGAGATTTACCCCATGTGTGGCGCTCAGCAAAGGTGGGGTGAGTGGTGGTATTTGGTGTACCCCGTTCGTGACTGGAGCGTGGGGGAATTTTTTGTGTAGAGAGTTTGGAGGAGGGGGGCGAGGGGGTGTGGGTAGGAATCGTTGAGAGCCAGCATTCACTTTCCTTGCGGTGAGTTACAGAATCTCCTCCTTTTCTTGCTCACCCACCTCATCTCACCTTGCTTTATTTGTGTTTACCTCTGCTCTATCTGGTTGGACCAATGGGAGTCTGTCTCCATGTCGATGGGGACAAGGGTCTGTGGGCAAGGGGGCTTATTTGCATCAGAGTACCCCTTTAATTAAGGCTGCCGCCTCCCTTTTTCAATGAGTAAGGGGTACTTGTAGAAGTAGGGAAGATTGGTGGCACACTATGGCCCCTGCTGGCTGTGCATACCAATTAGAGGTGTGGTGGCACACTCTTGGCTCCTATCTTGGCTGCTGCTGGCTCTGCACACCCATAAATTACTTAGACTTGAGAGAACAGCTATAGTTGGTGGTACCATTTGGCCCATGTATTGGCTGCTCCTGGCTCTTATTGTTAACTCTTGTTCTTGTTGTATAAGAACCCAGACCAATGACTGGGTCATTCATGGTTGTGGTTATAGTTAACATACTCTGTCCTCATGTTATGAATCATCAGGAACACTCAGTATAGAGGATTCCTGTTCATTTATAACAGGGGCTGCAGAAAAAGAGATTGAGGATTCTGTGTCCTCAATCTCTTTTTCTATTTTAAAAGGGAAATATCAGGGGTCTGTTTAGCCCCCTAATATTTCCCAGAAGCCCCTAAAAGTAAAGTAAAAAAGAAAAATATTTAATAAATAAAAATTTTTAAAAATTAAAAGTTTATAAAAAATAAATAAAAAATAAAAAAATGTTAAAGTTAGGAAAAACATTTTTTCGGTTTCGGCCCTACATTTTCTTTCATTTCGGTTTTGAAATTTTCATTTCAGCGCACCTCTAATGTTTAGCATTTATTATATATCTGTAGGGATTATATAATGTACACCATTTAGACACATACATTTTTCAGATCTATAACAGAAATTTATATTGATAAATAGATCTATTTTCAGATAATAGCTCAGTGTTTTTACACATACAACATTCTACCCAAAACACACATGACTCTTGTTCATAAGAACCTCCAAAGTGTAAGAACTGGTAGGAACAATGCAACTGAGTGGTTTCTCCTACAGTAGGCACATGGCCAAGACAAGCAGGGTGGTGCATGACCTAGAAGACTATGAAGCTGTGCCAGGATGTGATGTATTCTATAAACATCAGCTGTAATGACGTACCCAGAACCAGGAAGTTCCACAACAAGGACTGTGATCCTTATCTGAGGCTCATTTTCCTTGGACTTTGTTATATTACTTTTCTGAGAAGTTATCAATTATTCCTTCATGTTGAGCGTAATGAAATTTATGAACAAATGCAAGCTCTTGTGTCGTAGTCCTTGTTTCTATATATCTGTCCCTATATTACATTTATGGCTGGACAGTAATGCACTAGTGAAGGAATATGGGTGCAGCTTAGTTTACTAATTTGTATCGAGATGGTTGTCCATCACAAGAGTGAGCTTTGAGCTGTGGCTACTTTACAACACATAGAGACCAAACATACTAAAAATAGATGCCAGCCCCTTACTTTCTTTTTTTTTTGCTACCCCACAATTTTGTTTGCCCGTTGCAGTAAAGAGAAATAGTGACTTGGAGCTTACACAGGGCTGAAGACTTTCTCACCACCTCCATCTTTATTATATGATAGCTTTATGAGTGCTTATGACCATCGTTGAGCTCAGGTGTGAGTAGGAGAGTGGAGATCAGCTTCATACTAACCTTGCCACATAGAGGCTCTGAAAACCTAGAGATCCAGCCCAGGAGTGCTGCTATTCCTTTGTACTGGGAGATTGCAGTCAAGGTGGCACAGGAATCTTTTACTTCTACAGTTTGTACCAGACATGCCCAATTTAGAGGCTAAACTGGGGCAATCCTAGAACATATTGGGTAATTTTATACCTTCCAAATGGTCGAGGACACTTGTAACATTTACCTGTCTATACTAGGCTGTCCTGTTAAAAAACGGTGTTGTTTACAGAACTCATTAGCTTATGCTAGAGTTTATATACAGAACTGAATGTATCAGTGTTGTGAATCCTCCACCCACCCTCTACTTCCTTGCCTGTTCTTTTCAGACAAACCACAGAGAGAGAGTCTGCAAGTAAACAGCTACTACCGTGATTTCTCTTTAGAAAACGCACATTGCTCTGGGAATCATGTGACATTGGTGCATTCTGTATTAAATGTTTTATTGTAAAACAAAGATTTGTTAGAAATGATGAACAATAACAGATATAAAACATCAGTTTAAACCCAGATATAATAAAAATGTAAAAACAAAAGTAATACAAAACCATTACTGATTCCTTTTAAGCAGTACAAAAATGAACCGATGAATAAAAGAAAAAAATATAACTTACATAGAATTCTCCATGTACAGGCGGCTGGTAGATGCCATTAAAAGAACACGATTTAGGTGAACATTCAGAAAAGTTGAAAATGTGTTTTATTGCCATCTGGCACCCGGAAGGATCTCCTGTACCCTCCACTGTAACATTGGCCCCTATGTCATCTGGAGCAGTTAATACACACTGGCTATTGTAGACGGAGGATAGACTGATGTTGGCTGTGTATCCATTTGGGTAGCAAGGATGTTTAACATTCCCACTGCTCTTGTTCTAAAGAAAAAAAAATCATTATTTCAGCTTTACTTTATTTTAGCTGTAAAGGTCGGCACAGTCCTACCTTGTGAACAGCAAACCTATTCTTTACTGATGCAGGGCAAAGCAACAGGTTTGCTTTAATGGCGTCTCCACCATCAGCATATACTCATGTTTTCTTTGCTCCCCCACTGCTCAATTTAACCTCAAGAGTTAAGAAAATACCTGATGCTTCCAGCTATGGAGGAGCATGTCACTCACTTCATGTGACAGCGCTAGTGATTTGCCCAACACTATCACATGGGGGGGGGTGGGGGGGGGAATGAGAAAAGACAGTCCTATACAATCATTTAGTCACTTACACCAGGCTGTCTTTCTTCATTCCCAATGGCTAAAAAGACTGGCAGGGGAGCAAAGAAAAAATGAATATGTGCATCTGGAGGAGGGAGGTGGACATGTTGCTTTGCCTTGTATGAGTATTGCAAAGGTTCTCTTTAATTGAATTTAAAACCACAATCCATCATAATCTCATCCAACAGTGTCTCCTTTTTAAGCTCATGTTTAACTAATTAGATTAGAATCACAAATTCAACTTTTAATCCAAACCTGTCACAAACTCAAACTCAGCATATGATAAAAAAAAATACAAGAGATTACCTTGAGTGAAAATTTACAATCCAAACAAACAGTACATCCATACATATAGCCCACTAAAATTGCAGTACATATTCCAGCTTACCAGTCCTTATCCTGAAAACTAGAAAGAAAACTAATGCAGCCACCACATCTAAGTATGTTCTACAAGTACAGAAAAATGATACCTGTTTATCTTTCCAGAAATTAAGTGTTTTTGTAATTTAACTGTGCACTGAATGGACATATCAGACAATGCTATACGTCTTCTCAGCTGTCCTTTACAGATTACAGAACACCTCCCCCTTTATGCAATAGAGAGGACAGAGAGAGGTGTTTGTAGTCTAAATCAGAAAAGCATCTTAGGGTGACAATGCTTCTTCGCCATAGATACAGTACAGTGGCTTATTAGGGCAGGAAGTGAGTTACTGGCAGGATCACCAGGTAAAATTAAAGGCTACTTTTCCCTTTTACAGCATGCTTCATGTTACATCCATATACAGGGTGTAACATGGAGCATGGTCACATCAAAACCTGCCCTCCAACATGCCTGAATCACAAGGTTCTTTTGCTTGCAGCCAGAGCCGGCGCTACCCTACAAGCAAGTCAAGCGGCTGCTTGAGGGCGCCGGTGGGGGGGTGTGGGGGTGGGGGCGGAAAGATGCGGACTGGGA